GCCCTGCGGCCATCTCAGATGGTCCCCAGTGCCAGGATGTACTGACTTCAGCTTGCTGAGCACAGCATAGCACTTCTGAGCTGACTTCGGATCTGGAGGCCTGAGTTCAAATCTTGATTCTGCCACTTAATAGCTGTGTGATCTTGGGCAAGTTATTTGACCTCTCTGGGCCTCAGTTTTCCCCTCTGTAAAATGGTGATAATAATACCCATGGAGTTGCTGGAGGGTCAAATGAGTTACAGCATATAAAACACTTAAAGCAGCACCCGACACATCTTAGTTCCTGTGCACGATCATTGTGTCACTATGCAAACTTGGGGTCCCTCACGCTCAGCTGTCTTGCACATTCTGTGGCAAGAACTCCAATGTCACATGCACAATTGGGCAGAGAGCACACACATCACTTGTCACACCCCATGAGGGGTCACTCATGTCTCAGGCCTCTGGACTGTGCAGCCTCCCATGATGGGCGAGGCTGGGAGTCAGAAGCTCTGGAAGGCCTGTTTCTCCTGGAGGTGCTTCCCTGCCCAACACAGTCTTCAGACAGGAGGCGCTGATGGCCTCCTGCAATCATGCTGTGCTCCTGTTCCTCACCCCCAACTTTGGCCCCTCAAACATGGGACGAGTGCTTTTCCAGGCCCTGTGGTTTTTTGCTGGGTCAGAGGTCGACTAACTCCCCCCTTGCCCCACACCTTGTTCATTAATTGACCTGCTCATTGATCAAAGTTAATGAGCACCGTGCTACATGCTGGGGATCCAGGAGTGGACAAGAGGCTGCCCCTGCCCTTGACGAGCTTGGAGTTTGTGTCTGGCAGGATAATGGCCACCCCCCCCCAAGACGTCCACATCCCTAGAACCTGAGAATATGTAAACTTACATGGCAAAAAGGGCTTTGGAGATATAATTAAGTTAAGGTTCTTGAGATGGAGAGATTACCTGGTGGGCAAACCACTACGCTGGCGCCTGTCACCTTCAGTTTATGTCACCTGTTCTTGAAATTCACATCAGTGGAATAATGCAGTCTGTACTCTTGTCTGGCTTCTTTCACTGAGATTCATCCATGTGTTAGACGTAACAGTAGTTTGTTCTTTTTTATTTATTCCTTTTTTTTTAAACGAATACACTGCAATTTATTTACCTGTTCTATTGTTGATGGACATTTGAGATGTTTCAAGTTTTATTATCAATAAAGCTGTGATTAAAAGGTTATGCTCATGCCTTTTGGTGGATGATGGAATTTGGATATTATTGTCCCCTCCAAAACTCATGTGGAAATCTGATCCCCAATGTGGCAGTGCTGGAAGCTGATTGAGTCATGGGGGCGGATCCCTCATGAATGGATGAATGCTCTCCCTGGGGGAGGGGTCCTGAGTGAGTTCTGCTCTATTAGTTCCCGCGAGAGCTGCTTGTTTAAAAAGACCCTGGCACCTTCTCTCTCTCTCTTGCTTCCTGTCACCATGTGATCTGCTTGTACCCGCCAGCTCCCTGCCACTTTCTGCCATGAGTAGAAGCAGCCTGAGGCCTGTGCCAGATGCAGCTGTCCCAGAACTGTAAGCCAAGTAAACCTCTGTTCTTTATAAATTACCCAGTCTCAGGTATTTCTGTCATAGCAACACAAAACTGACTAATACAGTGGACACTCACTCATTTCTGGGGGGCATATATCCAGGAATAAGACCGTTGGGTTATATTGCATGCGTATGTTTAGCTTTAGTAGATCTCGCTAAACATTTTTTCCAAAGTGTTCGTATCAATTTATACTTCCACCGGCAACGTGTAAGAAGATTGTGCCCCACGCTCAGCAGCACTGGTTTTAGCCATTCTGGTGTGTTGTGGCATTTCATTGTAGTTTTAATTTGCATTTCTCTGATAACTGATGATGTTAAACACATTTATTGGCCATTATGAAATTCTCTTTTGGGACGTGTCTGCTCAAGTTCTATGCCTATTGTAAACTGAGTTGTGTTTCTTTTTCTTATTCATTTCTAGGAGTTGTTTTATATATTCAGTATATGAGACCTCGGGCAGATATGTTATTTTGAAGTTCCAGTCTGCGATTTATATTTTCACGTGGATGGTGTTTTTTGATAAACAAAAGTTCTTGATTTTAATAAACTGTGTTTGTCAATCTTTTCTGATTAGTGTTTCCTTTTTTTTGAGTGTGTCTAGTTTAATAAATCTTCTTTATCCCGATGTCATAAAGACATTCTCCTATGTTTTCTATTAGAAGCTTGTTTTAGTTTTAGAATTCAGATCTTGAATTAATTTCTTATCTATAGTGTGCGGTAGCAATAAGGTTCATTTTTTTTTTTTTTTTTGGTGACTGGTAAGGGGATTGCAACCCTCGGCTTGGTGTCGCCTGCACCGCGCTCAGCCAGTGAGTGCACCAGCCATCCCTATATAGGATCCGAACCTGCGGCCTCGGCGCTCCCAGCACCACACTCTCCCGAGTGAGCCACAGGGTTGGCCCATCAATAAGGTTCATTTTTGTTTTTCCTGTACCAATATCCAATTCCTCCAGTGCCATTTATTGAGAACATCCTTTCTCCACTGAATTGCAGAGGTGTCTTTGTTATAGAATCAAGTGACTGTATATGTGGGAGTCTGTTTCTGGGGTCACTATTCTGTTTCACTGGTTTATTTGTATATTTTTGCACTGAAAGTATGCTATCTGAATTATTGCTTTATTCGAAGTCTCGAACTCTGTTTAAGTCCTCCGACTTTGTTTCTCTTTAAGGTTTTCTTGGACCTTTCAGGTCCTTTGCATTTTCATATGAATGTTAAAATTAACTTGTTGATTTCCCCCAAAATAAAGTGCTGAAATTTTGAGTGGGATCGCATTGACTCTAGGATAAACTTCGGAGATTGAAGACATTTGAACAAAACTGAGCTTTCCAATCCATGAGCACAGCATACGCCTTCATTTATGTAGACCTTCGATAATTTCTCTTGGTAATGTTTTGTAGTTTTCAGTGTTCCACCTCGCATTTCCTCTCAGTGCTAGAAAACTTAATCTTGCCAATTTGGGATAATTCGGTCACTTCCTATGACTTCCAGTCCACAAGCCATTATCTGTCTTTGCTGGCCTCTGCGCGGNCCAGCCATCCCTATATAGGATCCGAACCTGCGGCCTCGGCGCTCCCAGCGCCACACTCTCCCGAGTGAGCCACAGGGTTGGCCCAGCAATAAGGTTCATTTTTGTTTTTCCTGTACCAATATCCAATTTCTCCAGCGCCATTTATTGAGAACATCCTTTCTCCACTGAATTGCAGAGGTGTCTTTGTTATAGAATCAAGTGACTGTATATGTGGGAGTCTGTTTCTGGGCTCACTATTCTATTTCATTGGTTTATTTGTATATTTTTGCACTGAAAGTATGCTATCTGAATTATTGCTTTATTCGAAGTCTCGAACTCTGTTTAAGTCCTCCGACTTTGTTTCTCTTTAAGGTTTTCTTGGACCTTTCAGGTCCTTTGCATTTTCATATGAATGTTAAAATTAACTTGTTGATTTCCCCCAAAATAAAGTGCTGAAATTTTGAGTGGGATCGCATTGACTCTAGGATAAACTTCGGAGATTGAAGACATTTGAACAAAACTGAGCTTTCCAATCCATGAGCACAGCATACGCCTTCATTTATTTAGACCTTCGATAATTTCTCTTGGTAATGTTTTGTAGTTTTCCGTGTTCCACCTCGCATTTCCTCTCAGTGCTAGAAACCTTAATCTTGCCAATTTGGGATAATTTGGTCACTTCCTATGACTTCCAGTCCACAAGCCATTATCTGTCTTTGCTGGCCTCTGCGCGGGTGTAGTTTGTCCTTGCTGGTCTCTCAGTGGTGGCCACTGTCCCCAATCTTTTATTTGCCATGAAGCGACAGTCTCGTGGGATCCACACCACACCCCTGGCCCTCTCAGGAAGAACAGGAAGCCTTGTGACACTTTGACTTACACTGCATATGGGAGTGCAGGACTCCGTGTCACCAAGAACAGCCCTCAGCTGTCACTACCCTACACTGTGGCTCCATGAGTTTGAACATGGGATGTCTCTAGGACCTTGCTGTCTCTTCAGGATACAGCCTGGGATATGAGGAAGCATCCCAGCTCTCTAATTGCTCCTAATTGATCTATGCCTTTTGTCGCCCATGTCCCCAGAGGGACTTAGCCAAAGACGGAGGGCAATAATTCCAGCCCGATGTTAAGCTCTCTTTTCCTTTTTTCTCCCTCCCTCTTATCCTCCCTCTCTCCAAACTCCTCCCCTCAGTTCTGAAATATCTCTAACCTCCTTTATGTGTGCCAAGAAAACTACTCTTAAAGCCTCAAGCACATTTCCCCCCAGCTCTATACTTTACGATCATAAATTCTAAGCTCTAAATCCTTGTCTCCTCTCTTGATTTTTCAGCCAAAGCTTGTCACAAGCCACACCTCAGCTCTGCACTGGCACGACCCTGAGAGTCCTCTTTAAATGGCACCCTAGTCTTGGCCCTGTAGTCAAATGGCACTTAGCCCACTACCCCTCCTTTGGGAAGACTTCACAGAAGGGGCAACATTGAAAATGGGTCTTGAAGGAGGAGCAGGAGTTTGTTAGATGAAGAAGTAGGTGTGCAGAGGAACGCAGCCTGTCCAGTCTTTGGGATGAAGAAACAGGGCAGGAGGAAAGAGGGTTGGTGGCTTGGGCTACGGGGAGCCCATTTGAGCCCATGGTTCAAATCCCAGCACTGCTTCTTACTAGCTCAGTGGCCTTGGGTATGTGATTTAACCTCTTTGAGCTTCAGCCTCCTTTGTTGCAGAGTGGGCATATGAATGCTTGCTTGTTTGGGCTGAGGTGGAGACAGGATTGGTGCGAGGATTATACCACACAGATCATAGCACTTGGCACCCATAAGTGCCCTTTTACTGTGATGGTGGGACAGTTACCCAGGTCCTCTGATAAACATGGGCTTAGAAGCCCCTGAGGTTAAAAAGCAAAAGTCATTGCAATGAGACCAACTCAAAATTTAAGCCACACTGTTTATTTCCCTCTGTGGTATGGACAAGACAAGCCATCTGCCTGGGCCTGTGAATTCCCAGCTGGAGGTGTCTGTCTGTCCCCAGAGGCCCAGCCCTGCTCTTGTGGTAACCCTCAGGGACATCCTTGCTCCTCTGGCTGTGGGTGTGGGCAGGGTGGCACTGAAAGGCACAAGGAGGTCCCAAGCCACCGGGGAGGGAGGCTACCTTGGCCGTGCATCTGTTGATGCTGACTGTGGTGGAGGCCTGGAGGACTGGGCTGGCTTCAGCCCTCCCCTGCAACCTCCCCACCCTACCTCCCCAACCTTTCCCAGTGGGTAGGGGAGTGGAGTCAACACCAATTCCATATTACAGAGAAGGAAAATGAAGGCTTCTGGAGGGAGTCGAGAGAGAATGTCTGGCCTAGACCCAGGACTTCAGGGAGCCCAGAGGTGCTGGAAGGACCTTACAGGTTATCTGGTTCAACATTTCAGTTTCCAGGTGGGGAAACTAAGGCCCAAAGATGTGGCAGCAGATGACAAAGGACAGAGCTGCTCTTGCGGCCAGGAGACCCAAGGTCAGGCCCACTGCTCTGCCATGTGGCCTCGGCCTGAGCTCTGCACCTAGGGCCAGACTTTGGAGGATCTGGGCTCTCTGGGCTTAATGACCTTCCCAAGGCCTGAGGGCCAGGGCAGCCTTGAACCTGAGTGTCCAGTGGGGTTAGGATTTCCCCCAATAAGCAGAGAGAAATGCAAAGTCACACGAGGGTCATTCCTGGACTGCGGACAGGGCTCATGGAGCTGAAGAGCATGCACCTTGACATGACCTAGTGTCTTTTAGGAAAGAAACCACTTGGGGAAATGTGTGGGACAGACGTCCCTGGGCAATGCTTCACTCAGGTGCCTCAATATGTGTGGATTGGGTGAGGGGAGACAGCAGGAGAGGGGCTGCCCCTTGATGAACAAGGTGGGTGTGGGGAGAGGCTGGGCCCAGAGGGGAAAGGCTGGACTCCAACCTGCCGGAGTCACAATCTGCTACTCGGACGACTCCTTGGGCATATATGCCACATTGTCATAAGCAGGGGGCGGTGAGGCTGCCGGGCTGGGGATGTTGAAGTCTGCGCTGAAAGCGTTTGGCAGGAAAATTACAGGCTGAAAAAAAAAAAAACCCAATGAAAGGCCTGGAGCCTTCAGGGAGGAGTTACAATTGTGCCCCCTTGTGGGGACTCTGAGAACAGCGTCCTAGTAATGAATTCTGCAAAGCTGAATTATACACGTAGAACTGCCACCTGTTCAACTAATATTTCAAAAAACATTTACTGGGGCCAACTATAATCCCGGCATTGGGAGTACACCGGGGAACAAAACAGGCAAAACCCCCATTTCTCTAGGGGCTCACGTTCTGGTGTCCTTTCTCTCTGAGACTCTTCTGCCGTGGTTCAGGGCTTAGAGCTCCCTGATCTTCTGACGGATTTCCCTGAACCCAAAGACTCTCACCCTCACATTCTGCATACAGCCACCTGCCACGCAGCACCGCCCCCCACCCCCCGGGGAACCCCTTCCAAATGCCCCCTCTCCCTTCCATCACCCCCTTTCCACCCTCCATGGAAACTAAGCTCAAATGCCACCGCCTTGTTTTATTTTTTGGCGGCTGGTCGGTACGGGGAACCGAACCCTTGACCTTGGTGTTCCACCACCGCGCTCTAGCCTGAGCCAGTTCTGCCAGCCCCGGGCCGTAGCTGCTCCTCTGTGCACTGCACGCCCCTCCTCCCCGGAGCCCAGGCTCTCTGCGCAGCCGCACAAGGCAGCTGGTCTGTCGGCGCTGGCGCCCCCCTGTGGCCATGAGGAGAATAGTCCCATCTTCACTGACGAGGACTTCTTTGCGAAGACTTCTTTGGGTCCCCTGATGGGTGAGTGGGACGCTCATTGCAGCGCCCTCTCCCCATGTTGTTTCCCAGCCAGCAGCCTTCCCCAGAGGCTCAGGTTTAGGTGGACGTGGCGGTTGAAGTACTTACCGCGTTGGTTTGGGCGCGGGTGGCTTGGCACCCAAAGTGGGTGGCAATGACTGCAATGAAGAACTCCAGGATGGTGAAGATGGTAAGCACGGCCAGATAGCCCCTGCCCACGTCCTGGGGACCAGAAACTCACGGTCAGGGGCTGAGAAGAACTTGCCCAAGGTTACAGAGCCAGTTGGTGGCAGAGCTGCACGTGGGCCAGTCCTGCTGCCTGTCCCCACCCTCTCCTTCCCTGTACAGGCTTTCTCTCCATGCCCCTGATGCCCATTCTTGGGGTAGGGTCATAGGTCAATATACTCATGGGGTCTATTGGAACCGGCAGACCCTGCCAACATCCTGGTGCTGCCCACTCTCGCCTCCCTCCCCTTCCTGGTCATGGCTCCGTCATTCTCCAAGTTTTCCCACTGTTGGGGGTATGTGACAACACACCCAGTTAGTGACACCAAAATCCATGAGCAGAATGGCTGTCCCAGCAAAGGCCGCCATGGCGCTGAGAATGTTGGTCCCCAGGCTGCCCCTCACCTGCAGGAAGGAGAGAGATGGGAGGGCAAGAAGCAGAGGGGAGAGAGAAGTGAAGGAGAAAGGAGGAGAGGCCACAGCTCACCTGCCAGCCCCCAACACCTCCCTCCCACAGCCAAGGAGGCAGGGGCCACACTGCCGTGCATGGGGCTGTGCTCTTGTGGACTGTGCTCTTGTGCTTGGGTCCGAAGAGCATGGGGGGTGAGTGAATCCCTATGGTCCAGGTGGTCGCCCAGGGGTCACCGTCCCCATGCAACCAGAACCTGATGCTCTTTTGACCTGGTAGCTGGAAAATTCTGATGAAACTGCCCAGCCTTAAAGTGCGCTGGGCACTGCAATACCCATTGAAGTTCAAAGATACCTGACTTTCTTTCTTTTTGTTTTTTTTCAAATGACAGCCAGGAGGGCACTGAGACCAGAGCAGAGAATCAATCAGTCAATCAATTAATTAATTTGACAAGCTTTTCTTGAGCACCTATTGTATGTCTGGCCTATGCAAGATGCTGTGAGGGGTGGGTAAGTCAGGTCTCTGCCCTCCTCGAGTTTACAGCCCAAGGGGACATTGAATTTGGTCTTGAGGACCGCCCCCTCTGCAACCCATTCTCTGTCCAGCACCCAGGACAGCTCTCTAGAATATAAAAAGGGCAAGGATTCCTCTGCTTATACAATCAGTGGCCTCCATTGCCCTTAAAATCTATTCCAGACCACATTCGGGTTCTGAATCACCTCCCCTGGCCTTTCCCTGTCACCCTGCCTCCGGCTTTCGATGGTCCAGCCCTGGGCCCCTCTCCCCACCAGGCTCTTCCTTGGCTGTGGCCATCTGAACTGTGAGGTTTCTGTTCAGGGATCCCAGACTGTCTGAGCTGAGCAGAACGACTCTCACGTTATCCTGTCTGCTTCCTTTTAGCGCTTTTTGTGCTCAGTAACTATCTTACTTGCTAGTTTGTTTTTTTTTTTTTTTTTAAAAAGATGACCGGTAAGGGGATCTCAACCCTTGGCTTGGTGTTGTCAGCACCACGCTCAGCCAGTGAGCAAACCGGCCATCCCTATATAGGATCCGAACCCGGGGCCTTGGTGTTATCAGCACCGCACTCTACCGAGTGAGCCACGGGCCGGCCCTTGCTAGTTTGTTTTTTGGGTGTCTTTCCAGACACCAGCACCTAAGCTCCAGACCCTTGTGGCCGTGTTCTCTGAGCCTGGCTGACGCTGCTACTGTCTGGTTCATATGCTTTTATCGCCTCCTGGTGGCCAGTCAAGGCACTGGAACCTTCCACAACCCCCTCCAGAGCATTTCCCCATCTAATTTCTTTCCACCCCTTTCCCAGACCTCTGCCCTGGTCCAATGGAGACACAATGGTTTCCATAGCAACCGTGCCCACGCCGCTTCATGCCTTCTCATGCTTTTTCCTTGGTGTCTCTAAGTGCCCCCTGCCCGCCAAGGCCCAGCTCGCTGTCTGCTCTTCCAGGAGGCCTTTGCACAACTTTCTCTGAACGGCCTGAGCGCTTCATCTGTGGACTGTCACTTTCTACCCTGGGTTGTATTTTGAAAGTGTGTCCTGGCCCCTCCTCTCCCATACACGGGCGGGTCGGTGTCTGGTCTGCCTGGGTGTTGACCCCGCGCCTCCCCAACAACCCCTCCAGCACTAGCAGGCCCCCCGGAAGTGCCTGCTGAATGGCTGAATGAGTGAGCAGATGGGAGTGCAGAGTGGAGTGGAATCCAGCTGTGGCCCGTCCCCACCCCTGGGTCCACCCGTTCAGACTCACCAGGCAGCTGGTGTGGTTCTTCTCAGCCGCCACTGAGAGGGACCCAGAGATGATGAACTGTGTGGGGAAGAGGGGACGAGTGAGGCTTTGTCCAGGACTCTGGGCAGGGCCCCTGTCTGGGCTCTGTTGAGAGGCTGCAGAGCACCTTGCCTCCTGGCCAGGCACCTTGGGTCTCTCTGTAAGTTTGTTCCCTGGTTACTAGGGGCTCCTGTCCAGGGGACTAGAGCCATAGCTGATGAGTAAGTGTTTTCATTGACACCATATTGCCAGAGCCTCATGGGAGGGGATTGTTCCTCAGACAGCCGCTCAACAAACACTGACTGAGTGGCACTTATGTGCCAGGAACAGAACAGGGTTGAGCAAGACAGACACGATCCCTGCTCTCATGGGGCTTCTACTCTAACTGGGGAAGAGTGACACTTAGCAAATAGACAATGAAGAACAGTTTGGGTGTGATGACGTGATGAGGAGTCACTGGGGGTTGGGGGGATTGTCAGGGAAGGCCTCTTGGAGCTGAGATGCCAGTGGGAGGGTGCAGGGCATGGAGGGTGGGAGCCTTGCCCCCCACTGGACCCACATCATGGCACCCAGCACCCAGAAGTTGCCTTGCAGTGGCTCTGGGCTGGCCCCACGACTGGCTGAACTAGAATGGAGCCAGAGCACATGGTGCTGGTTTTGGCCGAATGCTCAGTGGGCTGACAGGCTGCACCCTTGCACTTGCTGCCACACTGGAGAGACCACAGGGGGACATCCATGGTGGGGGGCTGGGGTTACACGGAGACAGAGCGGACCAGGAAGGAGCCACTACACTTGCGCAGATGGTGAGGATCGGGGTGGAGGCAGTGCAGGCAGGGGCGAGCCGACGGGACGTGCTGGGAGGGTTGATGTGGGAGCGCGGAGAGGGAGGCGGCTCGGATGACCTCGGGATGATCTTAGCTCTGGCAATTAGATGGATGGAGGTGCCACTTGCTGAGATGAAGTGGGGAGGGGCTGGAATAGGGTTGGAAACAGCAGGAATCAAGAGCTGCCTCTTCAACATCAAGTGGAGAAGTCAAGACAGCAGCTGGATTTAGATGCAGCTCTCAGGGCTGGACACAGACATTATGAGTCCTAGACAAAGAAGCCAAGCCCCAGAGAGAGGCAGTGACTTGCCCAGGGTCACACAGAGAAGGAGGCCTGCTGGGACCACATTCCAGCTGTCCTGCCTCTTTCTTTTTGTAGGGAGCAAGTTATCCTTCCGTCCTGCAAGTTCGGGAATTTTTTTTTTTTTAGGGGTGGGTGGGAGGCTGGTGGGTGGGTGATCCACAGGGATCGAACCCTGGACCTTGGTGTTATCAGCACCATGCTCTAACCAACTGAGCTAACCAGCCAGCCAATTTTGGAAAATTTAAACTAAGAACTCCTTTGAGCCTCTAAGAAAAGCTATGAGCCCTCTTTCTAGACAAATGCACATAATACATGTATATTTTTTGGGGTCCCCGAGGTCATCAGTGTGAAGATCTAACTGAATGATTAAATGTTGGCATTCACACATGTCCCGCAGGATATCCTGACTCTGATAAACTTCCGAATTTGAAAAGCTTTTTTTTTTCCCCTTCCACCATTTCTGAAGTCTTTACTGGGTATACTTTGTGATAAAGCCTGGCAGGTGGGACTCAAAGAAGAAAGGGACACCTGTGTTTCTTTCTGCTCTGATGTCTCCCCCAGACTCTCCAATTTGCCAACATTTTCCTCCAACTTTGGATCACTATGGTCCATCCAAAGGGCCAGAGCTTGGGTCGTGCATGGCCAGGTGACCGTTCCACTCTAGTTGTGCTGTGTCAGCAACTTTGGTCTCTCTGGACCCCACTGGTGGGGGTTTTGAGCTCTTGCTGGAGGCAGCCTGTGCAGGGGCAGAAAGCCACTGTGCTGGGTTCTGGACCCACCACTCACTCAGCGGTGGCCTCCCTCATGCAGATCTCTGACTCTCCCTCTAAAAGGGGAAGTTGCAATGGCAGTCCACCATTTGGTACAGAATTTTAGGGTTACCTCTTGTTTTCCTCAGCAAGCGATGGGATAGGCAGTGCCTGATCTATGAAGCCACTTTTTAGATGAGGAGGTTGAGGCCAACAGACGGTGGAGCTGGGATTCAGACCCCCTTGGCTTGACCCTAAAGCCTGTGTTTCCTTGGGACGGCCGGGAGGCTCTGGCAATATGGAGGTAAAGGTGCAAACACCTTGCAAACCAAACACTTTTACCTTTGGAAAAGGCGCAAACACCAGCGTTCACTCTGTAAACACCGAAAACCACCGTAAAAGACGGTTCGAGGGAGAAAGCCCGTTCCCCGCAGCCAGGGGCCGGCAGAGCACAGCTCCGGGCGGGCCACCGCCTGCTGTCTGCTCCGGCCCGCGGTTCTCGGGCACCGCTCCGTGCTGCTGCCTGGTGTTCCCAGGCCTCGGCGCGGTGACCGACAACGTCGTCTGCGCTGAGCACCGCGCCCGCTGCAGCCTGCGGGGAACGCGTCCGCGAGCGTCTTTTCATTCCAGCGCTGCGCTGGGGCCGCCTCCCACCCTGTGAAATCTGACTTGGGTTTTTAATCTGGTTTTAAAGCGTTGGTTTACCAGCATCCCCCCCGATCCATTCCCAGAAGTGGGATGGGTTTCCCTAGGGCGGGGACAGGTGGGCTTCTGGCCCACGTTGCTGCCCATTGTTTTTGGTAACTATTGAGTTCTGGGAATGAGTGGACAGAGATGTTCAAGGCCCTGAATCCAGCCTCTGCCAAGTTCAGGAGCCCCTTCCAGCTCGGTGACCTCCATGCACACTCCTGCAGTGACCAGTGCTCGCCACCACCCAGACCAGCACGGTCCATTGATGGGCGGTTCTGACTGAGGACAACTAGGCTTGTATTCTTGGGTCATGTGGATATAGACCACTTTCTGACACGAGTGCCAAGAATCGGGATAGGTGTGGGCGTGCTTCTCTGTCTCTTTCTCTCTTGGTTGCATGTCTTCACCTCTTCTACTTCCTGATGTGGCATGGCATCCCAGCTTTACCCTTGCTGCTAGACTGCCACGGCTACTGCGATGACATCAGCTACTGTGACTGCCACAGCTACTGTGATGACCTCAGCTGCAAACCTTTGTTTGCAAGGTATTGCACCACTTATTGCACGTCTGTCTATATGTGACCTTATTTAATCCTAATGTGATGAGGTTAGGTATTATTATCCTAATTTTGTGGATAAGGAATCTGAGGCTCAATGATGTTCAGTAGCTTGTCTGACGTCTCCCAGATGTGAAGTGGTAGGCCAGCTGACTCTAAAGCTGGTGTCCTTCTCACTGGGTGACACTCCTTAACACCTAATTGTATGTTCCACTTTTTACGTTTTTCAACAATTTATATTTGTCTCATTAAATTCCTTTGTGGGGAGGGCATTGGTTCCGGGGTCTGCTCTGAGGTTTCAGAATTCCAGCCGTTGATGACCCCATCTCTGTTCACTGTCTCCAGCCCCTTCCTGCACCTGTGGACTTGGTGACACTTTTAGGGTAGGATTCTAAATTCCAGCGTGTTTGAGCCAGAGGTCCTAGATGCTGCAGAACAGAGGGGTTGGGAGCAGAGCTTTTCAATCACACCATCTTTGGTGACAGGATGTCACTTACCACCGGTGTGGGCTTGGGCAAGTGGCTTAGCCTTGACAAACCTCAGTTCCCTGCTCTGTCCAATGGAACTATGATCCCTGTCTCACAAGCTCCTGCTAAGAATCTAACGAGGCAATGCACGCAATGTCCTTGTCACAATGGATGCCCCTCTCAGAGGCACTTAATAAATAGGAGCTGTTGTCATCACCACCACCATCATCATCACCACCATTGCTTAGCTGTTTTCATCTCTTACTTGGAGAAACTGAGGCTAAGGGACAAACTGGAGAATATGTACATATATATAGGTATGTATAAAATTAAATAAGCAGGAGGTCATTAGACCCAGACTGTCTCTTTCAGTTTCTATGTTAACAAACTGCAACCAAACTCAGTACATAAACAAACCAAAACTTAAATCAGGAGTATATTTTTTTGTGACAAATAGCTGGGTTTCAGCCAATCACAAACAGCCATGCTTCAGCCAATCATAGGCAGCCAACCAGTCAGACCAATTGCCCAAATAAGGCAACCAGTTGCCCAAATAAGGCAAAGGCCTCCTCACGCCATGCCCAATTAGGGCAGACACCTGGCCGTAGCCAATCAGGTGATTTCTCTGCTTCCCTGTCTGACTAATAAAAGCTTGCTGCTCACACTGCTGGCTGCAGCTCTCTGAACCTCTTCTGGTTCTGAGTGCTGCCTGAATCATGAATCGTTCTTTGTTCAAATAAACTCTGTTAAATTTAGCTTGTTCAGAGTTTTCTTTTTAACAGGACACACACACACACGTATGTGTCTACTCACTTCTAAAGCAGTTAATAAATATTTCCTAGCACTAGCAACCACATCTATACTTTTAATAACAGCCATCATCATT